TGGTGAACTATCACTTCTGTACACTGTTTATTTTGCTTTATACATTCTGCTAAATAAGGAGGATGGAATTAGATTGATCATCTTCCTGCTGTGTGAGGCAGTTCAGTGCCAAACTGTAGCCCAGAGCTCCTGTCCTCACCTCCCAGGCTGCCTCAAGGATGCTGTGTTTACCCCCAGACGACTTGTTGTGTTGCTGTAGGTGCTGAGAGCTCACTCAGTTCACAACAAGGTGAGAAGTTGTAATCTGACAGCATCTGGCACTGCACAGAAACAACCTCATGAGCCTGTGACCTGCCCACCTAGGGCTGTGGGCACACACAAGTGCAGGCAATACATGGCTATGTTTTTGGAGTCTCTGTCCTTCATCATCACGCCCTTCCCAGTGCAAAACACCAAGGTGCAGATCCACCACCTGAGCTGCTTGCTGGGGCAGCAGCAGCCTCTTTGTGGACTCCAGGCTGTGCAGATGTCAGCAGTGATGCCTCTGCTCTGCCTTGGTCTGTGCTGCAGCTTTGGTTTGGGTGCAGGGAAGAAGGTGTTAAATCTGTGGCCTTCAGCTGTGCAGTGCCATGTCTTTTCCCCATGTTCCATAACAAATTCCCCCATCTGCATTCCCTGTTGTTAGCTTTTCCTCTTGTTTGCCTCAAGAGTCCTAGGCCCAGCATTAACTCCATGGCAAATCCATCTCCTTACAGCCTAGCTGAGATGGATCAGAAGTTTCAGCAAATCCTGGCTTGGCAACAGCTGGATCAGAACAAAGCTGTCAGTCAGATCCTGCAGCAGGTAGGCAAACTGCTCATGGAGGATCAGAGAAAGCAACTGCATGGAAAGTAGGATCCAGAGTGGAGCACAGGAGCAGCAGTGGCTAGGCTGGGCTGCATGCAGAAATTACTTCATTTAACCCTATGTGCTAGACTTTTATTAATAGGATTTTGAGGCAGAAATCCTGTCTTTTGACAGTTTTCCTGGGTGACTAGGGGCAAATTGCCTCCAGGAAGCATTTTCAAAACTCAGTTTCATAAGTACTGGGTAGCTGTGCCCAATGGAACTGCCTTGGGTGCTCAGTGCTGCTGAAAATGGTTGGTGAAGATCACAGAGCTTTCCTAATGTGTGTTTGAAGAGAATGAATATTTCTGTCTCTCTGTAAAGTGGGTTTTACCTGTTGGGACTCTGGGCTCTTGGTCACCGTGTGATCAGGACACTGTTGCCTGTAAGCACTGCTCAGGGATTGTACCTGAGTCCCTGCAAAGCAGCAGCTTCTGAGCCTGTTAGCAACTGCATCAACCACCTCACCAAGCAGAATTCTCCCCCTCTGCTCTGCTCTGGTGAGACCCACCTGGAGTGCTGCACACAGCTCTGGTGTCCCCAGCATCAGAAGGACATGGAACTGTT